GTCCTCCTCGTCTTCGTCCGACTCCTGTGCTGCCTTGGCTGCGGCCTGTGGGCTTTCAACTGGTGGTAAGCTGCAACATGCTGCAACAGTGCTCGGCTGCACTTGCTTTTGCTCTTGATGGAAAATACCAGCGGCCTTCGGCGCAGCTGTTCCCGGCTTGTCCTTTGCAGCAGGCATTTTCTTGTCGCCGTCCGGCTCCTCATCGTCCTCCTCAAAAGGCCACGGTCACAAAGCGCACCAGAGAAAACTTCTTGCACAATGGCCTCGGACTCGGACTCCTCCTGCGCCGGCTTGGCCTTGCCAAGGGGCACCTGGCAAAGCCGTCTGTGCGTTCTCAAGCTTTACACCTGGTCGTCAGATTGTGACTGCTAGCATTGGTCTCCCCGCGCTGCCTGCGCAGTGCCCTTGAATTGGCTCGCTTTAGGAGGTGGTGGTTCATCTTCTTCCTGGCAACGAACAAGGCGAACAGAACAATCCGGTCCTCCGTGGCATACGTCTCTATCATGCTGCATCTTGCTACTACTACCGGCCTCGTCTTCGTCCGACGCCTGTGCTGCTGTGGCTGCGGCCTGCCAAGTTGCGATAGTGATCAGCTCCGTCTGCTTCTGCTCTGTTAGAGATTAGTCGCCTTCGTCGCAGCTGTTCCGTTCCCCGGATTCACCGTATAGATCCACGGCATCTTGCGGGGACAACGACGAGAGAGTGCCGCAGGGCCACAAGAACATCCAGCTGCAGGGGAAAAGCCCCAGAACAAGATCAAACCTTTGATAAAGCGCAAGAAGCTGGCGGCCTCGGACTCGGATTCCTCCAGCACCGCATCTGCGAATGGTTCTTCGCCATCAGGCCACCTGGTGTCTTCAAGCATGGGCATGCCAGCACTCCCTATTGTGCCCTGGACTTGCCTGTTTTTCGGTGATTTCGGTGTTGGTGGATCAGAAAAATCCTAGCAATGTGCCGGAGGCTTCTATCATGACACATCTTGCTACCACTGCCGTCCTCTTCGTCCCAATCCGGAACCGCCTTGCCTGCGGCCTGCGGGCTTTCAACTTGTGGTAAGCTGCAACATGCGGCAACAGTGCTCGGCTGCACTTGCTTCTGCTCTTGATGGAAAATACCAGCGGCCTTCGGCGCAGCTGTTCTCAGCTTGTCCCTTGCAGCAGGCATTTTCTCGGCGCCGTCCGGCTCCTCATCGTCCTCCGCAAAAGGCCACGGTGCACAAAGCGCACCAGAGCAAACTTCCTGCACAATGGCCTCGGACTCGGACTCCTCCTGCGCCGGCTTGGCCTTGCCAAGGGGCACCTGGCAAAGCCGTCTGTGCGTTCTCAAGCTTTACACCCCTTTACACCTGAACGTCAGGTTGTGCATGTCCCTGTGCTACCTGCGCAGTGCCCTTGAATTGGCTCGCTTGACGAGGTGGTGGTTCATCATCTTCCTGGCCAAGAACAATGCGATCACAAATCCGGTCCAGTCTCCATCATGCAGCATCTTGCTACTACTGCCGTCCTCCTCGTCTTCGTCCGACTCCAGTGCTGCCTTGGCTGTGGCCTGTGGGCTTTCAACTGGTGGTAAGCTGCAACATGCTGCAACAGTGCTCGGCTGCACATGCTTTTGCTCTTGATGGAAAATACCAGCGGCCTTCGTCGCAGCTGTTCCCGGCTTGTCCTTTGCAGCAGGCATGTTCTTGTCGCCGTCCGGCTCCTCATCGTCCTCCGCAAAAGGCCACGGTGTGCAAAGCGCACAGTTCCTCACCAGAGCAAACTTCTTGCACAATGGCCTCGGACTCGGACTCCTCTTGCGCCGACTTGGCCTTGTGAAGGGGCACCTGGCAAAGCCGTCTGTGCATTCTCAAGCTTTACACCCCTTTACACCTGAACGTCAGGTTGTGCGTTTCCCTGCGCTACCTGCGCAGTGCCCTTGAATTGGCTCGCTTTAGGAGGTGGTGGCTCATCATCTTCCTGACTAAGAACAACGCGACCATAAATCCCGGTCCAGTCTCCATCATGCAGCATCTTAGCTACTACTGCCGTCCTCCTCGTCTTCGTCCGACTCCTGTGCTGCCTTGGCTGCGGCCTGTGGGCTTCCAACTTGCGGTAAGCTGCAACAGTGCTCGGCTGCACGTGCTTCTGCTCTTGATGGAAAATACCAGCGGCCTTCGTCGCAGCTGTTCCCGGCTTGTCCCTTGCAGCAAGCATTTTCTTGTCGCCGTCCGGCTCCTCATCGTCCTCCGCAAAAGGCCACGGTCACAAAGCGCACAGATCAAAAACTTCTTGCACAATGGCCTCGGACTCGGACTCCTCTTGCGCCGGCTTGGCCTTGCCAAGGGGCACCTGGCAAGGCTGTCTGTGCATTCTCAAGCTCTACACCCGGTTACACCTGAACGTCAGGTTGTGCATGTCACCATGGATCTCCCTGCGCTACCTGCGCAGTGCCCTTGCATTGGCTCGCTTGACGAGGTGGTGGTTCATCATCTTCCTGACTAAGAACAACGCGACCATAAATCCCGGTCCAGTCTCCATCATACAGCATCTTAGCTACTACTGCCGTCCTCCTCGTCTTCGTCCGACTCCTGTGCTGCCTTGGCTGCGGCCTGTGGGCTTCCAACTGGTGGTAAGCTGCAACAGTGCTCGGCTGCACTTGCTTTTGCTCTTGATGGAAAATACCAGCGACCTTCGTCGCAGCTGTTCCCGGCTTGTCCTTTGCAGCAGGCATTTTCTCGGCGCCGTCCGGCTCCTCATCGTCCTCCGCAAAAGGCCACGGTCACAAAGCGCACAGAGCAAACTTCTTGCACAATGGCCTCGGACTCGGACTCTTCTTGCGCCGGCTTGGCCTTGCCAAGGGGCACCTGGAAAAGACGTCTGTGCATTCTCAAGCTTTACACCCCTTTACACCTGAACGTCAGGTTGTGCATTTCCCTGCGCTACCTGCGCAGTGCCCTTGAACTGGCTCGCTTTAGGAGGTGGTGGTTCATCATCTTCCTGGCTAAGAACAATATGCGACCATAAACCCGGTTCAGTCTCCATCATGCAGCATCTTAGCTGCTGCTGCTATTGCCGTCCTCCTCGTCTTCGTCCGACTCCTGTGCTGCCTTGGCTGCGACCTGCGGGCTTTCAACTTGCGGTAAGCTGCAATGAGCTTGCTTCTGCTCTTGATAGAGATGACCAGCGACCTTCATTGCAGCCGTTCCTGGCTTGTCCTTTGCAGCTATCACTTTCTTGCCACTGTCCGGTGCCGGCTCCTCATCGTCGTCCTCCCGCGCAAGATGCCGTGTCCCCAAAAGCATAGTCTCGCGGTAGCTTCTTTCACAACGGCCTCGGACTCGCACTCCTCCAGCGTCAGCTTGGCCTTGGCGTGGGGCACCTGCTCCGGCATCTGAGAAATTCTTAACCTACATGCCTGGAGGCCAGGTTGTGACTTCAAGCATGTTCCGCCTGCGCGGTGCCCCTGACTTTGCTTGCTTGCACACGTGGTGGTACATCATCATCTTCCTGGCAAGGTGCAATGCAGGCCAAAAATCTGATTCTCCATATACCTGGCAACTTGCAACGAGTCGAATCATGCCGCATTCTGCATCCTATTGCTATTATCATCATCCTCGTCTCTGTCCGCCCGCTGTGCTGCCTTGGTCGCGGCCTGCGTGCTTCCAACTTGCGGTAAGTTGCAGCAGTTTTCAGCTAAGTCTGCCTCTGCTCATCTAGTTTACTAGTCGCCTTCTTCGCAGCTGCTCCTGGCTTTTCCTTTGCAGCTGGCATCTTCTCGTCGCATTGGGGCTCCTCTTCCAATTTCCGGGCAAGGTGCCACAGCAAAAGGGGCAACATCAACCCAGACCCAGGGATGTGTGAACCCGGCTGCATGTGGCAGTGGCAGACTCGTGCGTGGGCAACGGCAACACGTCAGTGCGGTGGATTGGCACCGCCTCGGTCGGCTTCTTTCCTTCCGGATGCATCTTCCTCTCGCTCTGTTTCTGCACCTGTTCGATCTCCGGCTCCGTCACATCCTGGTTTCAGTTTAGACAGGGCAGGAAGGAGAGTGTCGTTACGTGCAAACATCATAGAGGAGTTCCCGGTCGAAGCTGAAAGCTGCGAGGCTTAAGCCCTCTTTGATTGCAAGCTGGCCAGCAACAACTACGGCCAGTGGCCACTGGTGCAAACCGGCCGAGGAACCGAGTCGGAGCTCAGCTGGCGGCGCATTTTTTGCGGGGTCTTCGTGGATAACCTGCTTGTCAGGCCATTCAAGCATCCTTCATCTTTCCTAGCTGGTTTTGATCGCCATGAGCAACGCATCCAGTATGTTCCAGCACTATCTGCCGGTGGAGAGCTCATCATTGTCATTTCCATCTGCTGTTGCTACCGGGATGGCGGCTAAGTCTCTGCAAGACAGGATTCCTCAAATATTATGCGCATTTGTTTTACTCACGGTGGGACCCATTTAGAAATAAGCTCATCAGCAACCTCCGGCTAGCGGAACGTCCAGGCTTCTTGCGTGCCACACAGCATCAAGCCGAGAGGCGTCTCTGCTTCAACTTTACCCTCGGCTTTTCACAGATGTAACAAAGACTAGCACGGGTGACCCTCTTACCATACCAAAAACAACCCAAGCCACTGCTTTTCGCAGGACAGCGGCATGGCCGGGCATGTGCTCTCCCCGTCGGTTCCTTGCAAATCGGATGGCCTGCAGGCGTAGAATCTCGCCTAAGCTGATGCACATGGCTACATGACGATCACCACCATAACGACATTGCTGAGTAGCAATTATGTTTCTGGTCGTGGCCATCATCATCATCATCACCATCATCATCATCATTTCCCTATTCGCATCGTCACCATCGACACCATCATCATCAACACCGCGATAAGGATGACGACTACTGCGACATGTCCTCCTTAACCCCTAACATGATGGTCCAACTGATGCTGCTTGGTCCATGGATGACTAACCAGGCCTGCAAGAGCCAGCTAAAGGTGCCTGGCTGCTGCTCCGCACTTCCCTACTGCCAGGAGCGGCACTGTCCATTGAAAAGGACTCCAAGGCTTGTGTTTCCATGGTCTAGCATTGCTGCATACTATATAGTTTGAGACAGTGCACTAGAACGCAAGACAGCCAATAGAAAAGCAGCTCGACCTCGTCCCTAAATGTTATGAGGTTTAAAAGATCTAACATAGTTAATGCCATGTATCGGCTTGATTATATAATTACTTCTTACACAATATGTTGGCTCATGCTATGCCACTTCATATTGTATCATTTTGCATGCTTGCGGGTTGTGGTTGTTGTTGTTGTTCTTCTTCTTCTTCTTCTTGTTGTGGTGGTGGTGGTGGTTGCTTTATGGTATAGCCAAGTACCCTAAAGTATAGTATAGTATCGTATACCATGGTATGGTATGGTATGGTAGTGTATATAGTATAGTACATTACAGTATAGTACAGCATCATATAGCACAGTCTACTACAAAATCTTGATATTACTGTACTCCACTTGAAGTTTTGGTAGACTGCATCATGTTCTCATACATGCATCACACTATCTTCTACGTGCCTCCGTCAAGCTATGTTCTGTTCTAATTCTATGTCAGTCGATGTAAGACTATAACTCACTGTTATTCTAGTCTAGGAGTCTAGTCTGCCATGTTATGACCATGCCCGTACGGTGTGGTTGTTGTAAAACGCTACACAAGAGATCAATGGACAGTAATTTAGCTTGTTTGACTTTTCCATCATAATGACTGCAAGCACGGGTTCAATTCAATGCATGCACCCCTTGACCTTTCATCCCTCTGCGTGCAATCATGTCGCTCGGGTTACTCACACCGTACTCTTCCGCCAGCGGATCAAACCGCAACCGCTTGCGATCTTCTTCTGAATCCTCGCTTTCGGCCTCAGCTAAGACGCTTGCAGGCTATAAAACCCAAGCGGCCACGGTCCTGTAGCCAAGCCCATGTCATGGTTCAGAAGTGACAGGCACAGAGCGGTCAAAAGCCTTCACAAGACAGGCGCCGGCGCCGCAGTCTCGATCAATACGAGTGGCGAAGCGCTTGGAGGGAGCAGACTTCTTTGTTGGTGTTGCCTTCTCGATACCTTCGTTAGGGGCGCAGTGGCACTGTGGTGCAATGTTCGGCTCGTCTGTTAACACTGAAGGCAGGACATCCCACACGCTATGTCTCGGAGTCACTGCGCTTTCCCATCTCAAATCCGCAGCCTGCTTTTGCCTTTCCAGCACCAGAGCTGCCACCGGACTTTTCATCAGCTGCTTTTGCCTGAGAAGCCCACACTGTACTAAGCACAACCCCAATGTCCCAAAGGCAGTCTTGTGAGTCCCACGCCTTTGATCGCTCTACTTTTGAAGGTCAAGTTGCTTTCGCCTTCGGTTTTGGCTTGGCCTTCTTTTTCGGCGTCTTCGCAGCGGCCATGGCCCGCGCACACAGACACACACTCCGTGACCCGCTTCAAAGGGGGATCTCGGAAGTACTCCGTCAAATGCAAAGGGATTCTTCCTGGTTTGGTATTTGTATGTATATCTATGACCTACTTGAAGGCAGGCTGCTTTCGACGAAAATGCTGTCGCAGGCATGTTGCGCTCCTAAACCCTAAACCCTAAAGCACGGCCTTCCTTACCTACCTTCATGCTCGGCTCAATTTAAGGACATCCGCGACCCTGCTCGGCCTGCATCGAAGGATAGCCCGTGTTGGGTATCTCTGGTCTTTCACGCACCTCCAAGCTCCAAGGACTCTTCTGATGCACTCAGAGCCTATACTTGCAAACACCAGCATGTGTTGCTGCCAAAGGTTTCTGGCTTACAGCATGTAGCAGATGTTATGTCCCATGCACGCTAGGCTTGTGGGACTGGCGGCGTGACAGGCCAGTTCCTGCTTGGCTGTCTGTCTGGCAGGAGGGTTCAAAACGCACACAAACCTAGCCTGGCCTGACGAGTTTTGTCAGGCAAGTGCTCTTTGCGGCATAGACAAGGCTCGCCTGGTTTTCGTTTTTGCAGCCTTGCTTTCCTGCCTGGCTGGCATCCTATGAGACCCAAGCTATCCTTCCCTGGGCTTCCTGAGCCTGCTGGATGGCATCACAGTTAAGAAGAGGTGGATTTTTTTGGGGGGGCTTTTTTTT